CTGCTTTTGGTAACCTTGTTTCTTTACTAAATCTCATTGTAGATGAAATGCCTTTGAGCATTGTAATCTATTTGGTGATTGTAGTTGATGTTCATCTTTTTCAGAGCCATATCCACCAATGCCTAAATCCCTGATTGCAAAGAAGGGCAAAATGCCAGTGCCAGAAGAAGTTTTATCATCCACTGATGAAGAGGAAATAAATGTGACAACTTTAAAAAAGAAGAAGAAAAAACTTGTTGAAGGCAGTGCTGAATGGGAAAGGGTAAAACAGTTCTATGTTATACTCTGAAAGGAATATTAATTTTTTTCTAAATGTCAAAAGTAATTTTTTATATTTAAATGAAGATGTGTAAAATGTCTTGTTATTTGTTTTACTGACAATATATTTGGTTGTGAAGAATTTGACTGGCTTCAACTGAGAAAAGTGTTGATGTGACCTCAGATGTGAATGGAGTTATATATCATTTCATGCCACAACTTTGACAAATTGTTTTGTAGGAAACTGGCAAAAGTACATGATTGTTTTATATAATATGACAATACCTACTTATTTTATCTATCATCAGATTTACATGTAATCGAGATCAACAAAATGGTCTTGCATTTAATAGTGTTTATTTTTCAGAAAATGGCCCTTAAGTATATCAGAGAACTGAAGAACAAAAAAGGCACAGAAAAGGGAATTTTAGTTTGTAGACTATGCAAGGACAAAACTTTCACTGCAACTGCAACACTCATGTACCACTACAGAAGCCATGCAGGTAAAACAGCCATTTTGCCCAAGTGGAAATTTCATTTAACATCCAGCAGAGTGAACTTGATTTTATGTAAAATATTTGAAAGACAACCTTCAAAACTAGGAAGTACTCATAATGTGAAAGCAATTTCTTTTCATTTAGTATGCTGAACCCTATCCACAGTGTTTATTGCAGACAGTTTTTCCCCGCCTACTACCCATGTAAATATATCATTCTTAATTTGCTATTTTGGGTTTCTCCAGGGATCAAGCCATTTGTGTGCCTAATTTGTAACACCACCTTTACCAGACAGCACAGTCTAAACTACCACATGTTGATTCACAATAATCAGAGCAGGTTTACTTGCATTGACTGTGGGAGGAAATTTAGGCACCCAAGCCATTTTAAGGTAGGTACTTTATGACGTAAATAAATGCATTTCTGAAACTCTCCAAAAGATGTATCATACAATTTTATTATGAGAATGCGTGTAAGTTTTGAAGAATTTTAAAACTTTTTTGCATCTCTAAAAATTGTTTTGTAGGGAACTGGCAAAAGTACATGATTGTTTTGTATAATATGACAACACTTACTCCTTTTATCTATCATCTGATATAGCACAAAAATAGGTCCATCTCATTTCACTCACATCCCAATATGTTATAAAGTTATGTAATGTCCAGTGATATATTTAGGAGCACCTGCGGCGCCACACTGGTGAAACACCATTTGAATGTACAGACTGCGCCATGAAGTTCAAGACAAGGAACACATACAAGAGGCACTTGAAAACAAGACACGGCAAGCTGCTCACAGCCAGTGGGATTTTCCTCTTGTCTGCAGAGGAATTTAGCCTTGTGCGTACCAAGCCATACAAAAAGACACTTAAACAGCAAGCAGAAGAAGCTGCAGCAGCTGGGCATACAGTACATGTGGATTTTGAGGATGATGAGGATGATGAAGAGGAGGAGGAAGAAGAAGGTGGAAGCTCATGAGATGTTTTATTTGTTGTTGTTAAATAGGAATACAAATTGAATAGTAATATATACGGTGTGCTGCTGGACAGCTTAGGATATATCCATATAATTCAATGTGCCTCTAGAATTGGGTTTTCAAGGCCATTTGTCTTGTCAGAACGTCTAGAAATTTATCCAAAATTTTATTTTACATATCAATTTGAAAGGGAAAAAAATTTCATTGATTGATTGTTGTATATAAGTTGCCATATTTTACTTGATGATGACGAAATTCCAAAAAGCATTTATATGGTTAAAGTTTATTTTTAAAACCAGCTTTTGGGTGTTGTCAAGGTTAATAGTACGAAAGGCAACCTAAAAAGTTTTATTAAGATTATGTATAACATGTATCGATAGAATGCTTGACATTTAGTATGAAATTATGAAGAAGATTAGTATGAAGTTGCCCTTATTTCAAAGGGTTTAACACTTAGATTAGAAATTTCTAAAAAGCATTTTTATTCGTGAAGGATACATGATCAGGCTTGGAAAAAGATATAAATATATATTTTTTGCATTATGTACATTTGTAAATAGCAGAAGAGTACTAGCTTTATCTTTCTATACGCACCCACATGTATATATACATATATTCTTTATTACTGCTACGGATACTGAATTTTCGCAGTTTAACTGTATAAAGCCTATGTATTGCACAAACAGCTGTGGAAAACATGAAAATTAAAAAACTAATATACAACTTTTTCACCAATTGGATATTACTCAAAGACCTTATATTTAGTCATGAATTTCATGTAATGTTCTCTTTCACATATACCTCATTTATTGGGAAACGTGTATAGTGATAAATAAAAGACAGTAATGTTAATAAAGATTATCAAATAAAAGTGCTGTTTATAATGTGTTTAGTTGTCCAGTAAAATTAGAATGAGAAATATGTATAACTCTGATACTGGAGTAAATGTAATTAAAGAACAACTAATATTTACATAGCTGCACGATCTGAAAGACTGAAACATTAGTTAAAATTGTTTTGGATCTCGGCATCAATCTACCCACAAATGCATTCCGTTGGGGGGGGGGGGGGGGGGGGGGGGGACTGGTAAAAGTGAAGACAAACCCCAGGAAAGAAAGGAATCAATCACAGTGTGTGGTGCTACTGGCTGCTCTGAAATGTGCATTGGAGAAAAAAAACGGGCTCGAAAGTATAAGTAAAACAACATAGAAGACCCTGTACTAATGAAATCTCAAAATTCTGCAATTTTCCAACAAAACGGAGACCTTGGTTGCACAATGGATGAAGACTTCATTCTTGACGAGGAAAACGAGCTAACATGGCATCAAAGAAGCTGTCTGGGAGTGGGTAGAGAACCCAACATTTAGCAAAAAGGTCTAAATAATAACTTCCTGCACATATGGGATAGGGTGCTGGGGACTATTCCTAGCTGTATGTAATAAATCCGGTGACCAGTCCCTCCAGGTCATTACCAAGTGAAAGAACTAGGGTCGATACCATGTCAGTCAACTGTTAATGAAATTCCAGTGTTGTAATTATAGAAATTTCCCCCAAATATGTGGTTTGTTTTCAGTAGACATCATGGCACATCCAGGCAATCAAAATAGGGTCTTGAAAAACAAGTAGAAAATGCACAGGCCAAGAACTTGAGCATGGTGACACCTTTCATCTTAAATAATTAATAACAATCAAAGTATTAAAAACGTGTATAGAGTTGAGAACCTTCTGGTAAAATGTTCCACTTCCACTTTCATTTCAAAGAGAAAAGAATTTTAATTAAAATTTTTTTATCATTCCAAGAAGTGCTCAAAAGCATGCAAAGGCATTTTAAGAGAAAAATGATATTTTTGAAATGAAACACAGTAACAGTTGCATCACTGTTAAATGTGTTTTTAGTTATCCAGTAGAATTGAGAGTTGAGGAATATGTATGACTATCAATCAAATTTTGCTTCTAAAGTTTGACGAATAGTCGACTTCACACATTGGGACAGGATGCAAGAGACTATTCTAAGCTGTATGTCACTAAATGAGGTGACCAGTCCGTCTAGGTTAATTCCTAGCGAAAGGATTCAGGTTGAGGCCACAACATTGGTTAGTTATTGAGCAGAAGTTTGAGGATTCAATTGATACGTATCCCTGATCACTATAAAGTGTTCTCCAAATATATTTTTTAAATTAAATCTGATAATGTATGACACAACTCAAATTACCTCTCATCACTTTATTGAGACATATCATTTGAACAATACTATGTATCTTTTGAAAATAAGTGAAATAATTGTTTATCTATGAGTGCAAAGGTCAAATCATCATTAAACAAAATAACTGAACACTGATTTGCTGAAACCTACACAACCATTCAAATACAAGATCCAAGCTGCATTTCGTAAAACTAGTGATATCATCTAAGTCTGTGTTTTAAGACATCTACAGTACTCTTTACACACCCTTTCGGGCTTTTCAGTAGAAGCATTGAATGCACAAAGGACACATATAATACAAAACTTGTAATACATGTCATGGACCACAGATATTTTATATGATGTCATGTAGTATACTGAGCTATAACAACACATTTTCCTGGAATGCAGAATTACTATTGCATGTAAAATTAATTTTCTTTTTATTATTTTTTTTTTCATCAATAACCAGTATATATTTTCAATCATGGTGGCATCCCTGTATCAGAACATTTGTTGTGACATAGGAGGCCAGGAAAAAAAAATCACCAAGCCCCAAAGAAGCACACTGAACGTAGGGAGAATTTATTGCACAGTTCTGTCTTGGGTGGTGATCGCATACTTTCCACAGTGTTCAGATATTTCAGAATTCTTCTATGCTTCTTGGAACTTTACTTATATGTCATGGTAAAAACTTGACACAACTGCCATAAAACAGCACAAATCTCAGTTTCACATCAGCATTACAATAATAAAACTTCAACTGCAATTCGTTTCTCTATCTTCTTTTCTTTGGAAGATCAAGAAAAACATTTTAAACTACATAAAATAAGAGCTTTGGCTTGTAAAATCTCTTTTAAGAACCTACAGTGTCACTCTTGGCACATACTACTAAATCGCACTAAACAGATTTACTCCAGATTGACTTGGCTTCCACATGTGCTCAAAACAGGTTTTATCCCAAGGTAAAAAGTGCCACTACTTATTTCGCCTCATAACTTTAAAAAAACTTGTGGCTGAATCTACAAATTTTTTTTTTATGCCAGACATTTTCAAAATATGCAAGCCCCTACTTTCACAACCTTTTCTTTTTTATTTTTTTAGAAAAGCTGGTTACACCAGAAGTTGATTGTAATCCACATGATAGCACTGGTATCTAGGGAGGAGGTGGGGAGCTGATAGTATCCCCTGTCCCTTGCTTGGTCTACTCCCATCAATGCCTTTCACCCCACTGAGTGTTGCCAAGAGACTTGCACTGCTCCTGCTTTAGCAGGAAACCTGGGGGGTCATTTGGACATCGAGGTCTTCCTTCTGAAAAGTGCAATGGGTATGTCATTTAGAACTAGGTGGACATCATTGAACTGAACGTAATCCATACTAATGCAGAATTAGAAAAGAAACTTACTTCACTAACCAAATTTTTATAAAACAGAGCCACCAAAGGGAGTCTTGTTAAGTGGAATAAATGTCAAATATACAATATTTATGTATTTAATATACCCTTTTGAATAATAATTTAAGGAAAAACCAAATCATATCAAGCAAGATAAAACATGTTTTCCCCTGCAGTTGGTCTACTTACTTTGCTGTTGGTACCCCACTGACTCCAGGCTGGCTATTTTTCTTCTGTGCAGTTCCACCATTTGTTGTGCTATATGATGATGAATCTGAAAGGAAAGGAAATTCTAGTCAGGCTATGTATTTTTAACAAATTATAAAGGGCAATTTAGTCCTCGGTGAATGAACAATACACACACACACAGACATAGACAATTTAGTAAAAATGAGCTAATAATCTTTTAAATCAATGATATATCAAGCACCTTATACAGGAAAAAAAAATAATCTCTTCCCAATTTTTATATTGTTCTAATCAGTAGATTCTAACTCAAACTAACCTGGACTTGCAATAGAAAGGGGACTTCCAGTGTTGAGACGCCTTCTACCAGCTGAACTTGGAGATGGAGAAGGTACACTACTAGAGGAACTATATGTTGAGCTAGCTGAACTACGTCTGAAAAGAAAATAAACACAATTAAGCAACTTAATTTAAATTTAAATTTAATTCTGAGATAAAATATAAGTATGAAAGCATAATATGACTTTATCAAAAAACAATTTTTTTTAAGTCAAGAAAAAGAATCCCAACATAAAGTATGGTTCACAAAATATTCAAGAATATTGAGCACCAAAAAGCCCCACAATAATCTGTATTATTATTATTAAACTAAATCTAAACTGAGGTTCAATATCATATAAGTTCCAAGTTTTTCACATAAATATGCTTTCATTCACATGTAGACTATGGCCTGGTTTATAACTACACTAACTTCAATCATATGGATACTGCTTCAGGAAGCTTTTACTTTCACTTTCTAACAATCTGTTTTTTACAGTCTTGTTTACTTACATGAGTATAAAAAATGGAAATTAACCAATAAAACTGGATAATGGGAAATCACTAGCTTAATTTTTTTCAAAAGGTCTCAGATGTCCTGACAGGTTTGAAATTCACGAACCTCCCTGTGTGATCTGGACATCATGGGGCCATCAGTTAGCATATTTCTGATTCAAGTTAGTCTTGCTATGAACTTGACCAACAAAACTCCCATTTGAAAGTGCCTCTTACCTGCTATTAGTGCTGCATGCTGACCCTATGCTGCTGGCACTGCCCGGGGACCGAGACTTGGAAGTTGGGGAAGGTGTGGTATTCTTCAAACTTTTGACTGTTTTATTACCTGTAAAAATTGAAACTAGCAGTCAAACACATTCTTATGTAACCACTGACTGATAAGTTGCAGTATGTCGTTGCAAACATCACTGTGGTCAACTGGAACATGATTTCATGGGGTGGATTAAGCTAATTACTTGTAAAAATGCATTGGAATAAACATAAAGACTGAATAGCATTCTAAAGAGAATACAGTTTCTACAGTAAATCATTTCCAATAGCAGTAACTGATTTCTAAAGAGAAAACGGTTTCTACAGTAAATCACATCCCACAAATCTTCAGTTTTTCAATTCCTTAATATATCAAGAATAAATTGCATTGTCACCTTTACTAGGTGTAGTATTTTCATTACTGCTGCCAGCTTTTAATTCTCTCTCGGATCTGGACTTCTCAAGTTGATGCCTTGTACTAGTGGCAGCAGGTATTTTAGAGGCTAAACAGGATAGAAAAGACAATCCTAGGATAAGACTTCAACCCTTCAACTAAGGGAATAGGTAAAGATGATACTAAGGTACTGCAAGGGTTTCTACTATAAACTATAAGTAAAACCCAAGGAGCTTATAATGATAGCAATTCTACAAGATATAGCAAGCTCTTTTAGAGATCTAAACAATTTTGGATGGAAAATGTTTTATGATGAATTTGATCACCAGTACAATCAAATACACACAAACAAAACCAACAAGGCAAAATTGATTAAATTTCCTCTATTTATCTACTATGCTTTCTTTAATAAATGCAGCTGTAAAATTTCCATTTGTCCTCAATTCATCAAATTTAAGCATGGTATTTATACCTCTTTTTGGAGCAGGGATTTTACAGGCCACATCCTTTTTATCCTTTTTCTTCCCCTCTTCTTTCTTGGAACTTTTTGTCTCTGGTTCATCTTTGCGAGACTTCTCTTCCTATAAAAGATTTCAACAAAATTATGTTAAAGTTCCACTTTTATAATTTAAATAATTTTTCTTCAGTTTTTCAGACCTAACTGAAAACACTTTCATGAATGTGACTCCAACTCTCTTGATGTGGCATATTTACATAAGTGCTGCAGAGATTAAATTTACAGAATATCGTAATCCATACCATTTCTATAAGCATTTTCTCTTCTTCCTCTTTCCTTTGGTCTACAATGTCATCATCGACCGTAGTCTTTCTGCCCATCTAAAACAAAATGGATAAATATCTTAATACTGGTTCAAAAACTAGACACAAGCACCCTTTCTCTTAGGTTAATCAGTCTTAGTACCTATGAGAGCTTCACATTGTTAAAATATGTATTAATACTATTTGATGAATTTATCACAACATAAATATACAAAGAAATAAACATGTACATACAGGCACATCCTCTTACACCCCATTTCCATAGATTTTTAGATCGATCTATCCCTGTGGGGAGTCTCACTAGATTACTGTCAGCTTGGCCGGCTTAAGCATCTGTCCTGCCTACTATAAGCTGTAAGGGGGTAATTAACTATGGTGCCCGCTCGGCTGACTGCAATTTAGCGTGAACCCCCAGGGAGTTAGGTCGATCTAAATCTTAATCTCTAGATTGATCTAAATCTCTGGGAAAGCACCCAAACTTATATCATCAGAAATGGGACTACAGTTATGTGTACTTACAGAATCCATTGGAACAGTTATCTTATCTAATTCTTCCACAGACTGAAACAGATCGATTATTATCTTATTAGCCAAATGGATTTTTTTTACAATAAGCAGAGATTGGGGTCCTATTCTTTAACTACAAAAAACCACAAAGAATTAATGAAGATGGGTTCCATGGACCAAGAAGGCAATTGGCCTTGGAAGTAATTTAATAGACAAATATCTAATGCAAGTGCTGTCTATCGGAACCAATAAATTTGATGATGGATCTTAAAGTTAATATTGGCTTTGCATATTGAGACACTAATCTTACACATTTTAAGTATCCACAGACTAAAAACAAGACTGTTAAAGGTTAGCACCACAAAAATCACATTAATATTCAAGCAAACACTTCAAAAAGTTCAACAAGTTCACGCAAAACATTGGACAACAATTATTTCACCTGATTATAAATCAAGTACTGAGAAACAAATAAACCACAAAATATACAAATAGTAATATAAATGTGTCCAACTTGATGGATAATGCTGCATTAGGCCAGTAAGTTGATAAATTTTCCAAAAACAAATCAGACAGTCACCATCTTCACTTTCTGATTATAATTCTTGAAAAATTTCACCAATGACCAGATAAAATGTCATTTTTTTTTTTAACATCTTCTAAGAAAATTTAAAAAGAATACAAATGCAGAAATTATCCTCAAGTATCTGTGACCTGATATAACTTTCAGGCACCTAAACAATAAAGCCAACAGCAAGTCTAGTTTGGCAATGCAAGCAACCAGTAGTGTAAGTTACCTCAGGGTAGGTTCTCGTGTACATTAGAGTGTAGAACTATAAATTACAGGGACACACCATGAATATGTGGGTATCAAAACAAATATATAGTGCATTTCTTTTAGTGCTACTCAGATGTGTTACGGGTTAGATTGTGTACAATATGATTAACGGTTATCAAATAGCTAAAGTATAGCCAGTGTCCATTCTGTTAAAATGTCCTGTTAAAATACACCACTATACACATGCACAGCATGATGAAACTTTGAAATAAAATTCATTTAATTTAATGAAAATATATGACACCAATGACATGGTCCAGAATATAAGCTGACAATTAGTATCTATTCTTTAAAATGAATAATTAGCAAAGTGCTGTCTCACAACATAAAATGAAACTACACACACGTTACAAGTGAGTTCGTGCACTAGTGGGTTTTTACACTATTCAATCGTGCAAATGGCCAAAGAAAAGTAGCTCACCTTTCTGACAGAAGCTGTAACATCTCGATCTCTCTCATTAATCAATAATTTCCTAACACATGATTCTAGTTGCTGCAATAAGTTGCGATCAGCAGGGAGACGCAGTATAGTCTTCAGACGGGGTAGGACGGAGCATAATCGCAAGCGAATATTTGGGACGGGATCTGTGGCGTGCTCTAACACAAACTCAAAGAAATACTCCTTGAAAAAGCTTTTTGAGTAAAGTTCCATTGCCATTTTGCAAATGTCTATGAATAAGCTTCTTTTATAACAACTCTTCCCATGACAGTATTCTGGAAAAGAAACAAATTAACAAGTAAAATGTAAAGTCTAGCAATTCAAAGGTGATTTCTCCAAAGCAAAAATAAAACACAAAATTAGCAATAAATCAGTAAATAAACTAGACCTATAACAGCATAGATGTTTGAGCTAGGATGGTATTTTTCATTATTATAATACATAATGTTTATCAATAAGGTTTTTCTTACCATCCACAAGCCGACATATCAATTCCTGCCTGTGTTCCATTTTCCTATTATTTCTTATCAAGATTAATATTGTCCGAGCTGCAGCATGCCGCACTGGTAAAGGCCTCTGTTGTAAAGAAGAAAATGACAGTGTTTTTTGCAATCTACAGGTAAACTAAACATCTCTGTTCATTTATAAATTCTTAAGTCATACTTGTTAATAGCTTTAGAATTCCATTTTTTTCATAATTACTCAAAAAAACAACAGAGAAAATGATCTGGTAACACACTTTATCACTCCCTGTTTTCTATGCTGTATGATCAACTATGTTATATGCACCAAGGTCATCAACAAACGCAACCAAATATTCCCTTACCACTGTCTGGAGCTTCTTAAACAGCAGAGGTATAAACTTAAAATAAATCTGGTCACTTGTGAACACTTTGGGAAGACAAGAGAAGCTTTCCATGATTTGTGCATGTAACCTCCAGTCGTTACTTCCTGACAGTACAGTTTCACAGGCTAGGAGGGCAGGGATCACGTCCGACATTGCGTTCATTTTAGCTTCCGTGATTGCACTCCCTCCTGCCTTCACCATATAATCTAGTGTCTCTGTTATATGAGGCACTAGGCCTCTGAGTATTTCTATGGACTCGTCTTTGAGCAGTGAAATCAGTTCCCCCTGAACACAGTGCACAGAGCTGCCAAGGAGCTTCACAACCTAGGGATACATATAACCTTATATAGACTTTCCAAACATGCACTGTAAAACCATATGGAGGATACAGTTGCTTATTTTTCAAAGTTATACTTTTTATCAAAAAAAATATTGACATACTGCATGGCCTTCAGATTTGTTGATAAGAGCATGAACAATGTACCAAAATACCAAGTCACATTCATTTTTCAATAAAATGTTTAATTTAAATCAAAATAGTCATATTAGAGAAAAATCATTTAAGGCAAAAAATGCACATAATTCTACCACATATTTCTATTCAGTGTTTTCCCTAAATTTATTTAAATAACTATTTGCCTTTTTAGATTAATTGCATGAATAGACATCTATTACCAGAACATCAACCACCATGGTCTCACCTCATGGAAACTGTGTGCTATAGTCTTCTTTACTGCTAAGTGTGGATCATTGCACAAACTGCTAAAGGTAGGATACAGCTCTGTTTTAAACTGGCGGGCCCCAGTCATCACTACCATAGCCTGGGAGAGACAAAACCATAAGGAATCAGTTTCAAGTCTACAAACAGCTTTTTACTTTATTTTATTTTATTTTATTTATCTATTTTCTTTTTTTTTTACAATTATTATGGCACCGATAGTCTTTTTAGGTTCTCTGACTGTAGAGTATTTAACTTGTAAAAAAGACAATTCAAGGCATCATTTCTACTCCAAAAAAGTGCATGTCATATAGGTAGATCCCAAGTCATACACCAGAATTGTTAGAATCTTTGCAATCTCAGAGTACAGTACAAATGTGAAGTTCTTTAATAACTAAGACCACTGTTTTTCACCCAGATGTACTGGTTTTTATATTATTTCACCTCTTGTGATTTAACATTACTCAAACTTACAGGGAAATTGAAGGCAGCATTCTTTCGGCACTCCACAGCTCTGTCCTCATCTGGGAAGATGCTAGCTATCACAGGCACCTGCAAATATTCACAGAGAAACTTGTTACAATATTCATTTTTATTTCAATGGCTTTTATTACTGCTAAATGCTCTTGACTTGTATACGTCAGCTTAATGGACTTGGTAAATTACCCAAATTTCTGGGTTTTTTTTCATGAATTAAAATAAGTCATAATCAATCTTAGAAAATAAGCCCAATATTTTGCAGAAGCATAGCTGAAGTGAAGTTTTAAGTTTTTTTTTATTTCTGCTTCTTTGATCATACAAATCACAACTGAACCAAAGAAAAGAAAATATAAAATAAACATAAAAGACACAAATTCATTCACTTAGAAATTTATAATGCTAATAGCCTACCTCCTTTTTGTAAATGTTCTCATTATTTTACAACTTCTCAACTTACCTTTGCAGGTGAATTTAAAGGCTCTCCCTCTCTTGGTGTTTTTGTTTTCTCTGAGAGGCCCACTCTACTTAATTTCCTATAGAAATCAAGAAACCACTGTTTCTGGTCCTCTGTTAGATTCACTGGAAATTCAAAACAAAAATTAGAACATTATCCTTTTTCACCAATTTAAATACATAAACATAATATTTCTACTTGCTTGGTATTATTTATGTAAGTCAACAAGGACAACAGGTCAAGCTGCAAATCTCTATACTGCCCCTGTGGTAAAATATCATTGCAAAAAAAAAAAAAAAAAATCAATTTCTGTAAACTAAAAACAACAACAATTCAGTGCAATGTCCTTTGAAAAACAGCCATCCACTGAATAAAGGGCCCATTCAGAACAACTTGATCCCTAGACAAACAGATTCGTGGATCAAATATGGGTGACCCAATTGAAAAACTTGCTGCACAATCCCTTCATAGACACTGAATACATTCCCCACGGAGAATGCACAGTTAGCCTTCAAGTGGGTTGACTATATTTGATCCTCGAATCTGTTAGTCTACGGATCAACTTTGATTGTGAATGCAGCCTTATAGCAGTACCTGACAACCCATGGCACAGCTTCCCTATCAGCTTGGCCACCACTGGTAGGGTAGGGTCCTCATTCTGTAGCGATTGCTGGCAGAACTTACACACCAGAGGAATGATGGTTGCATTACAGGTTTCTGCAATAAATATATATATATAAAACATATTAGTTATTGTGCACAGTGGGGGAAATAATACCGAGTAAAACCTTAAGCTAGACAGACTAGTTTCTATCTTATATTTTTCTCTTTAAAAATCTACCAAGACTGAAGGAACTGCGGAAGACAGTTTGAAGAATAGAGCAATGTCAATTAATCCAACCAATAATGGATGGAGACAATTAACAGATGACAGTTTGCCACTCACTAAGCCTACCTGATGCATATAAAGTAACTAACTTACTAGTAGCAGGTAATTATAGTGACAGATGCACAGTATCAATTCATAGTAACTACAGGTTTTTCATATGGGAAAGAGCTGCTTTCTCAACTTGACTATTTTAGACTGGACACTGGCTATGATGTACCATCTTATATAATACTGAATCAGAGTTAGTTGGCTATGTTGTGCTGTAGCCTGATACTAATACTAAAACATATAACACAGGGTATCAAATGTACTAATAGTCTACTAACATAAAATAGCAACAATTTGGTTGGATTTCCGGTCATTAAGTCCTCAGTATAACCAAGTATCCCTGCATGCAATTAACATGTATTTTGACTTGGAGACCAAGTGTGGTCTCACTTTAATCAATAACTTAGGATATTGGCAGGCATATGGTTGTGAGGAAATGAGACTAAATAAATAATGCCTACTGCATTAAAATCTCTAGTAGTGATGACGTTACTGGAGTCAACTGGAATGTCTTTTAACAGGGAATAACTAGAGGATCAGAGAGGCGATACCGCCTCCAAATATTGTACCACCAGCTGGAGCAAACGCATTCGTATAGACCCCCACATACACAAAATAAGGGACACAGCCACCAGTTTTGTGCTTGACAAGCTGTAAAAATGCAATCAACAAGAATTTTTTAACTATTGCAAAAAATATATATGGTACAATCAAATTTAAGTTCTTCGTAAGGTAGGTCAAGGGTCAATTTCAAGGTCACAGTAAATTGCCAGTATATGACTTCCTATTCAAGTTCAAGAGTAACTATGGACCTATCTCTGTCAAGTTTGAAGTTAAAAGAGAAAGAAATTAGCAGAGTTCAGTTCATGATAAAAAGTAGGTCAAAGGTCAATTTCNCACCACAATCCCCATTAGCACAGGGAAACTTCATTTTAAAACCATGCATTGTATTGTTAATTAGCAGATTATTGCTTAGGGGTGATGAACTTTTTCCAGTGGTTTTCATGAATGATTGCCTTGGACAAATTAATTTCCTATCCATCTTGACATGAAACAACACCTGCAAAATACCCTGGAAGCTTTTTTTTTATCCTCAATAGAGAAAGAATTTCTCATAAAGAAACATCATCCTGAAAAGTTCATCGTCTTTATCCAGTGACTCCCTACTGGAAATAGTTGCAACATCTGTAAATCTGTAACCCTAATATTGCACCTGTTTGCAGATGGGGAAAAACAGACACAGCAAATATGTTCATATACATGTATGTAGCAAACATGAAGCAATGCCCTGCTTGTCAGAAAACCCATCTTTCTGCTGGGGATAGTTTCAGATTTCGTTCCTTTCCCTTTTTTCCCCATCTAGGACTGATTATATCAAATATAGTTTATTGATGGTGATTTGAGATTGTACAGATGATGCAAGTCCTATTTAGGTCTTATATACACATTTTATTTATGACTGATTAAACTAATCATAAAAGTATTGGAAACAATTTTTAGAAATATATTTCTTTAGATAAGGCTGCTACATCTAATTTTATAATATCACCAAGCTGCATCTGTATACTTTTTATATGACGTCTAGCAACTTTTCCTCTGTACTCCCTCAATTAACTGACACTTTCTTATCCAGTCCAACAACTCAACTAACACTTGAAATCATTCTGTACAGTCCCAAGTCTCCTGCTAGCCTCTCGCCTTCTCCATTCCCAGGACAATACTTCCTGTCAATTGAGGCAGAAGAAGTAGAACTTACCATCATCCAGCAGACTAAGGATATTGACTACAGTTTCTATGCCGGCCAGACGCACATAACTCTCTTCATCGTTGGCGAGTTCCACCAACTCTGGTAATATTGCACTTTTAGTGGCTTCAAGCCTGAAAATGAGAGGTGGAAAATCATACTTTGGTATAGCATAACTTGTTTAAAAGAAAATTTAAATGAAAACAAAATACAAATATGAATCACATCATGCCAAGTTAATCCAATTGTAACGGGGGGGGGGGGGGGGGTTGCAAATACATTGCAAAAATTGGTACATCCAAATTTTGCCAAATGATTCAGTACCCTTTTATGAAAATAACATACCGTATCTTTCAAGATATTTTGCCAATTCTTTTTTTCTTAGATTTATCCTATAAATACTCAACAGATGGAAACTAGAAGAAAAAAACTGTCTCAAAGAAACAAATAGGCTGTCAGTGCTATTCAATTCAAACACATTTAATGGAGACAATATATTTTGATTACAGTGGCATGCATAAATTTATGACACTCTAAAATGTGGCATGGTATGGTTATATTACAAAATCCTTATAGGACCCCACAACACAGTAGCAAGCCACTTTATGGTAAGGGTACTTGAAAACAATTTAAAGGACATTTCCCCTTAGATGGTTGAATTCAAGGAGAATTTTACATGTTAAAAGGAAAATGTGTTTGCTTTCTGTACTCCACTGTGTGCAAATACTGCAGAGCAGATTGTTCTTTCATTATGCAAGAAGATTAATCAATAGCATAATGGGAAAAGCTTGTTGCCCTGACTAAAAAAAACAAAGAGCATCATTATGGTTTCATTAACAAGTCCATTTGACTGTTCTTCTAACCATGCCACAGTCTTATATATACAGACTTAGATTGGTGTTTTATATGCATTTAATCAAGGAAAAGTTCAATGGTGTTGATTAAGAAAAAAAAACAATCATGAGAACAAACTAGCATAGGCATCAGAGGCACAATAAAACACCAATAAAACAGCACTGAAGGTCAGAGATCAGCATGTACTGGATATAAACCAAGTCACAAGGGCAAATACAAAAACCATTCATTTTTACCATTGCATATAATGTTCTCTGAGAAAAATCAATCATCATCATTTAGTTCTTCTTTACAAGTCCAGACAACATTAAATGCTCATAAATTAGTTACACACGGTGCAAAGAGATGAATGAGAACAAATATGAATTGTAGTTGTGGGCATTCCCAGCCATGTCACTCATTCCCGTCTGATGACAGCTTACAAATGATTTTATTACACTTTGTCAACTTATGTAATATATAAATTAATCAGGTTCCTTTAATATTAACATATTATATTTGCTTCAATCTTAACACGTTCCTGCTTTGAGCATAAAGACTTCAAACTGATGCACTATTGTCAAATTTAGAATTATTGTGAACCATTTTATAGAAAACAAAACTTGTTCTTTCCTATTCAATCCATCTAATCCAACAACTACCTTAATCTATTCCAGTGTTTTTTCTTTCCATTGCCAATATAATTCAGGGGTGCAGAGATCTGTCTTCTTCAGGTCTCCATTTTCTTCCAATCTACATTATTTCCTATCACATATCAACTCATCAATACTTAATGCAGGGATCCATAGAGATGATATATTTGCATGTTTGATGATTCTTTCTTATTAATCATTTCAACCTCCTAAACTAGCGTCAGTAATTAATGACAAACTGGCCTATAAACATCAAGCTAACGAGCAGATGGGTTTTTTATTCAAAATTCCCACAGCTTAAAAAAGATAACTACTAGCGCCGTATGACTAAAATACAACAAAGGAAAACAGGCTTGTACTGATAAATGTGTTGATATTCACCTGCTAGGACTAGTGTGTTGATAAAGCGGTTCTAAGTCACTAATATATTAGTATTAATTCTATTCTATCAGTGTGCATCTGGTGAAAATCACATCAAAATGTCATTCCAGCTCTAATGTTGTTAATGCCTGCGAGTCAATAGAGAAGCCTTCAGCACCCCATCACTTGATAATGCAAGGTTATTTGTCTAATGCAACTTCAATATAATACATAAAGATCCCCATCTCAGCTTTCTATTTGAGGGCCACAAATGGGCTGTGCTTTGCTGACTTAACCTGTAAATTAAATCTATCAGGCTGCGGAATTGGCCATTAGATAGATGTTTTCTGCCACATAATCAATTTTAATTTGTATTCCTTGAGAAATGTGTCAAGTAAATATATGGTCTGATCATTTCTCCTTACACTGTACTGATATAACATATGTCAGTATTCTTTCTGACCCCAATGGAATTTTCCTATTTCTGAAATTCTGATACTTCTTTGCCCGTCTGTCTGTTCTATGGATTTCAACACAGATATCTGCTTTTTTTTCTCTCTTAAAGATCAATTGAAATAGCACTGTATACCTTATGTGGATCACCCAAATGCCTGCCACTCACATGATATGAAGGCTAGTGATTGATTGCAATTCTGACAGTTGGATCTCAAGATACTAAGAATGTACAAACTGGCATCTGGCAGATCGAAAGGTGGATTATGAATCGACTTTAATGTTCTTTGGCGGAACCTTGGTAGATTATGTCTCCATTAAGAACAATATGAATGTTACAGGGAGCACTGCGCATGATTGCAAACGTAATTCTTATCAAACTAAAGAATGTTTGGATATTTCATAGATTTATCAATTATTTCAAAGATTTTTTTATTAATTTTTGGTTTAAAGTCATGAAGACAACATTGCTGTAATTGGGTGAAAAGTTTGTGCTATTTTCATTACTAGATTCAGTATTTTCTTTCTCTTTTTTTTTTTTTTTTTTTTTTTTTGCTAAAAAGGAATAATTTTTTATCAGTTATTGTTGGTGGCACTCTTTACAGGCATATTATGGATGGATTAGTGCATGAACACCCGGAATGTCTTTCGAGGCACTAGATCCAGAATGTTCTCAGTCACACAGACGCGAGACTGGTAAAATATTGATTTCACTCCAGGCAAGATTGCTCCCAATTCTTATTCCAACCACCAAGAGAGAAACCCAACTGAATTACTGAACATCATTTACTGCCCTCACCAAAAACAAGACATGGCATAAAGAAGATCCCAAGGTGGAAGCCGTTTCTCTTAGTTCCAGTCAGCCAATAAGCCATTCCATAGATTTCTTGTCATCTTTCAGGGATGTTATCAGCAGAGGCATTACTTTGCATACCACGTCTCACTGCAGGAGACGACTTCTCTGCTTTACCAGTTCTGATGCTTCAGAGCTGGAAGTCTTTGTGGAAGGTAAGAGGAAGAGGGTGGGATAGCAAGGTTATTATTACTTTCACAATAGTACCCGAGACCAACTGGAGCGTATGCTTCAAAAAAATCTTTCTCTTTCTCTTTTTTTTTTATCTTAGTCACCGTGTGTGGTAAAGCTAGAAGAGCCATCTCACTATATAATAAAACCAATTTCATCCTAAATGTAGTCTATGAATTGTTCCAAAGGAAATACGCATAAGGCCACACTTTTTTAATTTTATGGATGACATCCTGCGCGCGCACCGATTTTCGTCCGTTCTCCAAAAAAAAAAAAAAAAAAAAAA